ATATCTTCACTAAAACACATCCTCCTGGACGCCTTCAGGATTTAGTTTCCAAACTCAAGTTGGTCTTCATTTTACCTCCTTGAGTTTGAGGGGGGCTGTTAATGTATATACATATATACACAATGTACATGTTAGTTAGTCCCACATTGATTAGAAAGTAAAACATTTTTATCAAGTTAAACTATAAATAGGATGCCTCTCTTGTAAACAAATTACACCATTCAATACAATTCTATTCTTTCTGTATTGTTTTATTTTCTCTCTTATTTTCTCTCTTAAATTCAACTCGTTCTCCTCAATCCGATCCTCTTTGTATGATTCTATATATTTTTTTTCAGTCCAATTTTTTAACGACATATAATGGTAAATTCAGTATCGATTTGGAAAAAAAATTATTATTATTGCACTCGAAAATATAATGAAAAGTTTAGACTCAACGTGGATCGTTAATGCCGCATGGATTTTTCAATTAGTACGTTTTTTACTCGTAAATGCTACGAAAAAAAAAATTAGTTTTATTTACCGAAATCAAAATTCTAATAAATATATCGCCTTTTTTTTTTTGTTTTGATATTGTTTTTGATTTGTTTCATTTGAATATATACCGATGTATTTCTTTTGGCAGTTTGCTGTTTCACTCTTCTGTGGTGAGTAATCTATTTAAAATTGCTTTTTGTATGTTTTCTGGTTGACTACTGAGAATTGTATTAATTTATATCTAATAAGTCATTTTGAATTGTTTCCTTGCATTTATGTTAGCTCTAAATTGCGAGTACATGAGTACAATTGAAACTAGTTAGTAGTGAAGGAGTCAGGGGTGGACAAATATGTGTGGTTATAAAATCTGCGTGCAAGAAAATTTTGCTTTTCTCATACGCTGTTATCTAAATGTACTTACTTGCTCTTTGTGTTATTTTAGCGGTCCATGCGCATCGTACATGTTGAGAAAACGAGCTCTTTACAACGACATGTCTAGGTAAATGATGACTTCTCCATGAAAAATTGATGATGATCAATTTATGCTTCCAGTCTATCTTATGGTGTGCTCTTCTTTAGGTATACATGTTGTGGGGGTTACATGCCTTGTAGCGGTCGATGTGGAGAAAGTAACTGCCCTGAATTTTGTCTTTGCACAGAGGTTTGGCATTTACTTGACATGTTTTGATCACTGTTTTTTATTTAATAATGTATTTTGTCATAGTATCTTGTATTGTTCCATCCAACTTAACAAATATACTGTCAGTATTTTGCGCTTGGTTAGATTCAATATTTAGCTCCCTATAATAGTTTGATTATTTGATTACTATGTTCGTGCTTCAGGTTTTCCTCTGCTTTGCAAATTCTGTTGCCTCAACACGCTTTATGTTGTAAGATGAGTTCAATATACAAACAACGAAATGTGATAACTGCATTATTGTACTCTCTTGCTCTCTATCTCCCATCCAAGCACGAGTGCTTAGTGAGCGTGTCGCGTCTTGCTTGAGTTCGTAACTCTCCTTTCCTCGTTTTCTCTACCTGATTGAGGTTTGAACATATCTACTGTGATAGGGATTTATGTTCTGCCTGCAGCAGCTGGCTTGCATATTTTCTATCATTGCTCTACTCGTAGGAACTGGGGACATTGAGGAGGCATCCCAGCTATTGAACTGTCTTTCTGACATGGTTTACTGAATGTAATATATTTCGATTACTTTTTCATACAACATCGAAGTTATTTAAATTAAAAAATATACTAAATCATAATATCTCTTTCATTTCGTTTTGGCAGGGTTTGCCTCTGTATGCAGGTATGTCTTGTATCATAAATTAGGATTTTGTACCTGACTTTGCAACGAAAGATCAACTATACAAGTTTTTTGGGGGAAGAAAGATTCAAACTTTTTGATAGCACCGTGCTTTTAGTTTCAAGTCCTATTTGCACTACTTTTTTTATCATAGTTAACACTTTATGCAGACACAGCACAAGACTGAAATGGATAAAAGGGATGGAAAGTTTGGAGCACCATCAGTGATGGCAGTGCCTCCTGTTCAACAGATGTCTCGTATAGATCAACCTGTCCCTCCTCAAGTCGGGTATCCATCCCCACTACCATATGGTCAGCCCCCCAACTATCTTCCACCTGTGTATGGTATGCCCCCGGGTTATCCGACCTCCACCAGTCTATGGCCCGCCCACAGGCTATCCCCCAACTCCTCCAGGCTATGGCCATCCCCCTGGTTATCCTTCACCGCCACAACCACTAGCTGAGGGCTACACTTCACCTCCACCACAACCACAACCCCAGGGCTTCCACCTAGCTACTTATACTCCATAAGGTTATGGTTATCCTCTTGGCAAATTATCCTGCTCATCCCCCACCTGATAACAATCGATGAATTCCCTTCTGGTTTTGTTGAGGTTGTACTTGAATCCAAATTTTGTTTTCTATCCATTTATGCATTAGGGATACTTTCAAGATTATACATATACATCTACCATGGGACCAGGGGCGGAGCTAGGATTGGCGTTCAATGTGGGCACTCCAAGTATTCATGAAATACTCTGTTCATTAGATCCATAAATACTGTCGGGGCATTAGTTAATCCAAAAGACATCACCAAAAATTCATAATGCCCATAAAGCGTTCTAAAAGCGGTCTTAGGGATATCTTCTGACTTAATTTTCAATTGATGATATCCTCATCTTAGATCGATCTTTGAAAATACTGTAGCCCCTTTGAGCTAGTCAAACAAATCTTCTATTCATGGNGAGGATAGAAAATTTGAAAGTGGATGTAGTTGCAATGGATGAAGAGGAAAGGGAACAAGTAGTAGAAGACCAAAACAAATCCCTTGTTAAGGGGAATACAGTTTCAATGGAGGAAAATGAACAAGAGCATGACATGACATGAAGGAAGAAATTGAAGTGAGAATTAAATTGGTGGAAGATGAAAGCAAGGAAAATGGTATCAATTATGCTAAGGTTAGAGAAGTCATTAAGGATGATCAAGAGAAACTTCTTAGCAGAAATGACATTTTAGAAAAACAAGGATACAAGGAAGATAATTCGCTGAAGATAATGGATGATATTGAAATTGAAGAACTACGAGCCATCTCAATTTTCCAAAACCTTTGAGCCATCTCAATCCCCCTCTAAAACCTTCGAGCCATCTTTATTTTCCCTATTTTACACCAACCATATATCAAAATTGAATAAACCTTAAAGTCAGCCTCAACTCTATATTTCTCCTTATTTAACACCTCAATAAACACCTTAGGCTCGATGGCTTCACATGCCTGAGGCTTCTATGTCTATTTCAAGAGCAATTGAAAAGTAATCCCTTCATAAGATTTCAGTTTTCGACAATACTCAAAGAACAACAAACAATTTCAATTCAATTATTCAACAATACTCAATTTTAATTCAACAATTCCCAAATTTCAGCAATTTCAATTCATTAATACCCAAACAGAGTAACAGACTAACCAGAGAAGGCTGAATCAATTTTCGCCTCTGTGTTCTAATTCAGCCATTCAGAATCAGGGGTGAGGGGCCAAATCATAACTTCGCCACTGTAAGGATGAAAAACACAAAATAGAAGCAATTAGCAAATGATTCAACAAAACCAATCAACTTAAATTTCAATTTTCAATAGTGTCAGTGGGTAAAGGCGTAGGCGTAAAGCTGTGTATCTTACGAGTTACAGGTGCCGAGGTGGGAGCCTGCGAGGTGAAACTGTGAAATGGAGGACCCGGGGCTGGAGGCCGGAGGCGAGGCGGAGCAGGCGGTGAGAAGTGAAGTGGAGGCTTGGAGCAGACGAGTCACGGACGGATTCACGGTCACGAGTGCGGAGTGCTGGAAATGGAGTAGTGCCTGATGTGAAGTCGTATCGATGGCTCGGTAGCCTTTTCTGTTCAACTGGTCCACTGGATGACCGATGATGCACCGTCCGTCACCGTGTACGTAGGAGGCTGCGGCTGCGCAAATGAAGAACAGGAGAAGACGGTGCCGATTTGGGGAGTGAAAATGTGAAATGGAATGGAGCTGTCTGGGCCTGGGTGGGAATGAGAAAAAATGTTTACAAATTTTTTATTGAGATAGGCCTCCCTTGGACATTGGGGCCTTGTATAACTTTAAAAAAAAAAAAATTCGAGCCCAAATATTCGACCCCAGAAGTTCAGTGTGGGCCTGTGCCCACATTGGCCCATATGTGGCTCCGCCCTTGCATGGGACCATTTTTTTCTATACTACATTGATGGGCTAAGTTGCTCGGTCCCTAAATCGCTTCTTTTATCAAAGTTCTCACCGAAACTAGCTCCTACTGCTCCTCTTATCCTAGCTCGCCATTGATCCTTTCACATAATTCTTAGTTGCTGAAGAGAAGAGACTGACTCTCTCTTCTTTATGCACAATTAGTAGAGCGACTACCTTGTGGCTGTATGTAGTTAATGTTATTGAATAATTTGATTAATCGGTAATTGATGTGATTTAAAATATTATTTTATTGAAAAATGTGTGGTTGAAAATAAGTTTTGAAAGAATGTGTGTCAAACATGGGCTAAATTGTTTTATAAATTATACCGTTTACCCAAACTGAGGCTAAATTGACTTCAATGAATTGTCTGAATGATGCCATTATCGATACTTACATTTGATCTTATCCGTTAGTATTTAATTTAACCTCTGTAGATAAAAACACTATACTTTAGCACGTAATATATTATGTGCTCAAAATAGAAAACGGAAGATAACATAAAAATAACATTATAAAATAAATTTCAATAGTTTCAAAATTCTAAATAAATCATTTGGAATTAGTTATAACCTTTTGTTGATTTCCCTAGTGTAATGAACTACGGTCAAGTACTAAGTACACTTGTCTCACCGTAAGTGTTAACCTTCAGTATATATACTACCACACCTTCAATGCAAAATTATATGAACGAATACTTAATAAACAATGACATGCATGATTTTCTATCGTTTCTTTCATTATGTTGTTATTATTGGAATTCACACTGTTTTCAATATCTTTACTTGATCTCCAAGTCAGATACTATGACCCTGTTTGGGAGAAATTTTAATCAAGATTTTAATCAAAATTCTAACCGTTAACTATCAAATCAGCCACCATTTTTGACTTTCTCTCTCACAGGTGGGGCCCACGGTTGACTATAACGACTATAATTTTGATTAAAATTCCACAAAAATTGCTCCCAAGCACGCTCTATATGTGTTTTATCTCATTGGGCCTCAAACCCTACCATTTTGAGTTCAAATATATGTATACCCAATGTTTTCGCGGGCATGTCTCCATTGCTATAATAACTCAGAACAGAATTCTATGGTGCTTGCCAATAAATGATCAAGTAGTCTTGGCCTATGTATACGATGTTGTCCGTGTTGATTTGTTATCCCTGAGACACCAGAGGAACCCCCAACACCATCCATATATGAATGTTGACGGGGTGGGTGGGTGAGCTTGATTGAAAATTATTCAAGGAAATTTTAAGTATATATTTTTTTGAGACAATTAAAGTTTTACATTATTTTTATGTCCTTAAAGTTTAAATTAGTGATTTTCTAAACTCATTTATTAGTGATAATTGTTAGGTTTTGATTTTATAATTTTGTAAATTATTTTAAAAAATTTATAATATTCCGATTTTCGTTATGTACAAATAATTTATAAATTATTGACTATATATTTATATTATTATATATTAAATTCATCTTAACTAAAATTGAAATTTTCTTACATAAGAAGACTATTAAATAATTATTTGTTATTACAAAATGAAGGTAAAATTGGACTAATTTCTTTCAAAATAATTCGTGGACGTAGTAAACAATTTATGAATGACATATAGCTAGTTACATAAAAAATGAAAACCAAGCGTTGCTTGCTCCAATTGTGAGGGGTCATTTTTATTACAGAGTTAAAAATTTCAAAATATAGTGAATCGTGCCGGTGATTTTTATTAATAACCATGAGTTGACCCAATTTTTCACCAGAATACTTGTATTGCTGTAACATGCTATTGCTCGACCTGATCAAGGGCTCGGGTCTCCGGCTTACTATGTCAATTGATCAGGTCGGGGCCTGCCGAGTTTAATAACTATTGTGTAACTAATAAAACTTGCACAGTAGATTTAACCATTAATTTCCAAAACCAAATGGTGACTATTCAACCCACATAAAATATTTGCTCTTTTTAGACAAGTTTATCCAAACATCAAATGCGTGTCTCATGGTCAGATTCTTCGATAGATGGGAATACGTTACACACAACGTTAAATTGTTAGAGAAATAGACGCCACAAATGGAAATTTGAGGATACAGCTTGCTAGAACTTAGTGAAATTAATCTAGTCAAACTTACGCATGTATTTTGTGACAATTTAATGCCTACATAGACCTTTCATAACGTGGAATACCGTGCACATAATGTTACAATATTGGGTACATGAGAGCCACAAATAAGAGGTTGAGGACAAAGGTTCTACATTCATCCAAGGTTGGAGATCCGAATTTACGCGTCTTGTGGGCACGTTTTGTATTAAGTGGATACCTTGCGTACATTGTTAAAACATTGGGAACGTGGTTGCTCAAATGGAAGCTTGAGGATATGAATGTCACTTTTACAGGAGGTTGAGGACCCTGGTGGAATTTACCCTCTTATTTTCATTCTTCGAAAATCTCAGATCCTCTTCTTCATTTCTTCTTCTTCTGCAGCATTGGCATCACACTGATTTTTTGATAATTCAATTGCTTCACCAATTAGTATGTATACGCATTGAAATTCCTACGAGAAGATGTATATGGCATATGGATGGCCGCAGGTCATCCCACTGGAATTACCGAATTGCCTCTCCACACAGAAGATCTTATATCTAAAAGTCGTCAATCGGTTGTTCCTTGTTGTTGCCCCCTCTCATCTCGAGCTTTGGTCCGCCTCTCAGGTCTCACAGCTATGCATACACATTATTTTAGGTGTGATGATTTTAGATAACCGTTTTGTTATGGATAATTGTTGGGGAATTTAGTGTTTTTGTTTTGAATTTTCAGCACAGAGTGAGATTGGGGAAGTATAAGAGAGATGTGGATTCGATTCAGACAGAGGGCGAAAATGTGCAGGCGGTTTGGAGCCCGGATATGAAACTGGTTGCTGTTCTTGTAAGTATTGAATTATTCTGGCTTCTGCATTTTGAGTTATTACGGCGTTGTGTGTATGATGGTAGTGTTGAAATCGACTAGATTTTGGTAAAATAATTGATTACAGTGATATGCTATTGTGGAGTAGCATCCAAACATCACACGAGATTGAGCTATAACTTTAGCTAGTTTGAGATTTTGTGACGGGTATTTGTTAATATAGATGAAGAATTAGTATTTAACGCAGTTACCATAGTTGCTATTTTTTGCTGTTGGGGCTTGTGAAGTTTTGTCTATCGGCGCGTCGTAAGTGTATATGGAGTGGTACTAACTCGTGTGAATATTGGTAGCATTGAGTTATGGCAACATCATGGTGCTCCATTGAGTAATTGCACAATTAGATTTAGCAGTTAAACTTCATTATCAAATTATTATGCTTGGTGGAATGATAAATTGTAGAAATTCTCAAGTATAATTTTGGAGCATGTGGCCGTCTTAAGTGGCTTCTATTTTCTAAACCATCAAGAAGTTGACACTAGATGCAGTTCAAATGATCACTCTTGAAGGAAGAGCGTGTTAGGAACTGAAATCTCTGCTAGTTTTATTTTCTAATACTAACAATTTTTCCATAAATGTGATTCATTTGGACACTAAATTATGTTAGGTGGCTTTGGTTCCTGAAAAAATTGTTCCGCTTTTGCAGACATCTTCATTTTATCTACACATTTTTAAGGTTCACTTCACAGAAAAGAAAATACAAATTGGCGGGAAGCAACCGACTGGTTTATTTTTGGTTAAGATCTCTTTACTTCTCAGCGAGCAAGTTCCCTTTGCAAATAAGAACTTAACCATGTAAGTACTTATTCTTATTTGAACTTTAATGTGTAGCTCCCAGCTTCGTTTCCTTACACAATAGAATTTTTTTGATTATTAATTAATCAGCGACGTTGTTCAAAGATCTAATTAGGATGTAATCATTAAAATCTTATTATTTTCTTGCCATAGTGTATTTGGAAGCAAATTGTTATTTTCATTTTCCCCAGCAAATATGGGATATCAGATTAATCTACTGATTAACAAGCTGTCACAAGAAGATGATTTATTGGGTCTGAAGGATAATTGAGCGATGAAAACATATTGAGGCACTTAATGCAAGGAAATCTTGAAGGTTAACCGGCAACTAACACCATCCTGAAGGTGTAAGTTGTTTGAAAATCACTTATATTAACAACAATTAAATAGAATAACATGGATTTGATAAGATATTTGTAAAAAAGAATATATTGTACTTGTAAGAAAAAAGAAAGAAAAATAAAAATAATTTATAAATGCCTTCTCCCTGTATTAAATGCTATTAAACTCATAAGTGAACACTGAGCGGTGCTAGATTTCTGCTAAATGACTAAAGAGGCGAAATGAAGGAGAGAAAACCACATGACATGCAGTAACGAGAAAGGAAACAAACCAAGAAACATAAAAACATAGTTATGATGTGTGAGATGGGTGCTAATGTATTCCCTCAATTTTTTACTTTAGAAAGAGTGAAGCAAGAGGACTTTTTATCAAAGATATATTTGCGTAAAATTGTTTTCAACATAATTAACCAAATAGGGCAAGCTCAATCAAATTTGTTCCAGTCTCTGAAGATGAGCTAGATACTAGACCATCTGTAATTTCATGTGTTGAGATTATGAGCCTATAGCTTGCCAAGAGGGATATTTCTATTTAAATTTCAGGTGCGCTGGTGATGTGGATAAAACAATTACCAAGACTAACAAGATGGAAAAAGAATTCTGAAACAAACTTGACAGAAAAGTTGTTTGGATAATTTTTTCCCTAGTATTCCCTCTATAAATTGGGATACTTTGTGCTGGCTAGAAATGCTTATAAAGTGAAAAGGAGAGTTAAAAAGGTTTTCTGGTGGTCATGAAGGAAAGAACTTCAAGAATACTTTGTGCTTCAATATTTGCTTTTGATGGAAGGCTATTCAATAGGCATATATTGATTTTGTTATTTCCTATTACTGGAATATTTTACGGGTTTCTTATTTTCTTTTTTCATGCCTTTACGCTAAAGGGAAATGAGAAGACAAGTGAGAAAAGAATGAAAATAAACTGATAACGATGAGGAGGATGATAGGGCAATTAAATATGTTAAAATTCCTTTAAAGATTCTATTAGTAGTAATGATGTAGGAGACTCCTTGGTTTTTGTACTTCCAATAGTAGGTTACAATTTTGTTATGCGATTACTAATTTTAGAACTTATTATTTGCTACTTTATTGATTCGTTTTATGTTTATTTCGCAAATTGAATTGTTTGCAAATCAGACTTTAATTTTGTTGATTAGATTTATTTGGTTTTTTCTTAGATGGTTTATGGTTTATCATGAGCATATATTTCTAATTTTATATTCTTTTGAATTATTTTATTAGTTTATCTCAAGGCTTATAAGGGTTATTAAGGCAAAACTCTTCTCTACTCAATTTAGCCTTTTTTTTTGAAAGGTAATCGAGTATTTTATTGATCAATGCATAATACACAGGAAGTGTATCATCGCTTTAAATCAGAAAGTAACATCATGAAATTAGGCAGACCATCTATATGCCTAGTAACCGCTGCATTAAACCAATTATACAATGTTAAATAAAAAAACTCCCTAATCTGCTCCGTTGTCCGTGTTAAATTTTCAAAGCAGCGGTTGTTTCTTTCTCTCCAAACACACGATACGATATAACCTGGAATAAGGTTTCAAACAAGTTTGCTATCCTTATCTTGAAACTTTCTCCTCCATGCCTTTAACACGTCTTCCATACGTCTCGACAACACTCAATCCATGTGTTGCGACGCTAGGATATTATTCCACAATAAACGAGTGACCTTGTTTCCCTATATTGTTATGTGGGGTTTTTGCGGTGTTTGCCAATGAGTCTGATTGATTAATGTTTCTATTTGCTATTGCTAATCTGGCGGTCTCTGAAAGTTCTTTCAGTGGCATTTAATATTTGCATGGTTTACTTTCCCCTTTTGTAGATTATATGGTGAGTCAAGATGTTTTGAGGTTTTTAGGGGCAGATAATTTATTACTCTATTTCCTTGGGAAGATCATAACATCTACAAGGATGAAATTCAATTCCAAACCTGCTAATATCCGAAGTACGAAATTTTCATAATCTTCTACTTTAAGATTGTTCTCTCTTCCGATGGCTCTTTGTATCCCATTATTGTATAAGTGGATAAGTGAGTCAACTCCCTAAAGTACAACTCTTTTAAATTAGTGTTATACTTCCTCCTTGTTTGGTAACATCTTGAGTCAATGATCTTTACCTCCTTTTTTTCCTGCTACTTTCTGTGAGTGAATTTGATGGACTTGTAGGACTATGAAAGTTTTTAAGTTGACTGATCAGTTCGATCCTGCAACTTTGGGGCCATTGCACTTTCAGCTTACTGGATTTTTTCAGCTCAAACATGATTTTCTGTGTTATTTTTCATGTATAAATGACAGAAGCAACATTTGGCTTACTTTGATTTTGATCTAGATGTGATTTTAAAATTTTAATTGTGCAAGGACGTCTAGAACAACATTCAGCTTACTTTATTTTTGGCCTAATGCGATCTTGAGTTTTCCATGTATGGATGACAGGAGCAACATTATTTGTGATAATAAGCACATGCTAATTGGACTTTCTGATGGATCATTGTATAGTATATCCTGGAAGGGTGAGGTATGTGCATTTGGTGCTCAGCATTTTCTTTATTTTTTTTTAACAGATTTAAACTTTTTCATTATGAGCGATGACTTAAAATTTCCTGGTTTCTTTTAGGCTTGAAAATTTTGACAAATTTTTTTCTTCTTTCTTCTTTCATTTTTGATTTTTGTTTTTGTTTTTTTTAAAATTGTGTCTAACCAATGGAATAGGGTAAGTTCTGGTTATCATTATGAGTTCTCCTTGTTCTTATTGTTAAACACAGTTCTGCGGTGCATTTAATCTTGACGTTTGGCTGCGTGATAGTGTTGCTGCTAATAAATTGTCACATCCTTTGGACAATGATCTGGCTTCTGGTGGAATTCAAGCTGTTCACAGGTCCAACAATTTTGCACCAGAGACTTCTGCAGTGGTCAATCTTGAGTTTTCCATTTCATTGAGGTTGCTTTTTGTGCTATTTTCTGATGGACAACTCGTGTCATGTTCTGTAAGTAAGAAAGGTCTGAAGCACACCGAATCTATTAAAGTTGAAAGGAGGTTGGCTTCAAGTGATGTGGTATGTGTGTCAGTGGCTTCAGAGCAACAGATTCTTGCCGTTGGCACCAGAAAAGGCGTTGTAGAGCTTTATGACCTTGCAGATTCTGCCTCATTTATCCATGCTGTTTCTTTGTACGATTGGGGGTAAGCCTTTTACATTTCTTTGAGAAACATGGAATTAGGGCCAATAATGAATATAATTAAGATTGCCTTCACATGCACTTTTTTCCTCGTGAATCCTTCAAGATTTGAGATCTAAACTTTCAGCAACTCTTTATCCTCATTAATACAATTATAATCTTTATGTTTTTTGAGAAATTTATTGGCTGTCGAACATCTTTGCTTTGAGTGTAGTTTGCGATTTTTTCTCCTTCTCCAGGAAGATGATCAAAGCTTGAAACCCAATGTTCAAAGTGATTCAGCTTAGCACTCTATACTTGAATTCATGTTGGATTATCAATAAATTTGGACTATCAAATTCTGCAGTGTGACTATAAGGGTTTAATATTAGACGGTCCAACATGATACACACTTATTAACAATGAACTTGGCGTTGCTTATATATGTGAGGACTATCAGAATATAGTCTTTTATTTTACTACAATTGGTCTTGAGTGATGCTTAAGAACTACTGCCAAGATTCTCATGAACGGTTAAGGTTGTGCAGAAAATTTCAGAGTTGACATTTGATTTGAAGACCTCAAGGAGTCAAATATGTTCATGAATTTTTAATTCCATCTAAAATCGCATGGAGGGTATGCTCATATACACTTCTCATTACCATTGGAATTTGTGATAGGAGGTGATGCAAATGGGTCAGTTAAAACTTAAAAGCTACAATTGTTCAATGAAGGCAAAATATGCCTCTTTATATCAACATTTTCAAACTTCCAGTATTTTCTTTATAAATTTAATCTTTAGTTTTTCTTCCAGCTTCCAAATGTTTCTCTTAATGTGGAGCAAACTTATCTGCAGATATTCCGTGGAAGATACGGGTCCTGTTAATTGTATTGCATGGACACCTGATAACTCTGCTTTTGCAGTTGGATGGAAGTTGAGAGGACTCACAGTTTGGTCAGTCTCTGGCTGTTGTTTGATGTCTACAATCCGTCAAATAGGTCTGAGTTCTGTTTCTTCACCTGTGGTTAAGCCAAACCTGGATCACAAGTATGAACCCATGATGGGTGGCACCTCTCTGATGCACTGGGATGAATATGGATATAGGCTTTATGCTATTGAGGAAGGATCTTCAGAGAGAGTCATTGCCTTCTCTTTTGGCAAATGCTGCCTCAACAGAGGCATTTCTGGCACAACTTATACATGCCAGGTTATCTACGGTGAAGATCGTTTGCTTGTTGTGCAGTCGGAAGATACCAATGAACTTAAAATCTTGCACCTTAATCTTCCAGTTATGTATCAACTTACTAATGACATTGAGTTGCCTTTTGTTTCCTTTTCTATAACGATGTTTCTGATAGACTCCGCATGGTGCTAGGTTTCTTATATTTCTCAAAACTGGCCTGTTCTGCACGTGGCAGCTAGCAAGGATGGAATGTACTTGGCAGTTGCTGGGCTTCATGGTTTAACCTTGTATGACATACGGCTGAAACGGTGGAGAGTTTTTGGAGATGTAACTCAGGAGCAACAAATTCAATGCAGGGGATTGTTATGGCTGGGGAAAATTGTTGTTGTCTGCAACTATTTGGACTCTTCTAACACGTGAGAAATCTATGCAAATACGAATGTTCTTTTTGGATATTTTGGGTTTTCTAGAATTCATAAAACTGTTGGTGATTTAGACTTGTATATTTTAAGATGTCTCTTTTGACTTTAGCCATCTCCTGTGCTTCTTGCTTTTGGCCTTTGGCTACCACTGTGTTTTCAATTTCTAATAACATTGTCTGAGATGAGAGTACAGTGTGAGAAAATGATTGTAAAAGTTAGTATTCATAAAGATTTCCAGTGTAAATGATAAAGCTTCCACGATTTACATGGAATTGAAAATGTTCGACATTTTATTATGTCAATAAATGGTTTGTGATTATCCCTTTCTCTACCAAATACTTGTTAATTGACCTGAAAATGTCACCTGGCTGTTGGTTTTGTTGCATGATTTTCTTGTTAATTAGATTTTAGCTATTTTTTCATTGGTGAGATATAGAAAAACACAAGGTTAGGTAGATATGGTGTAACAATACTAGAATAGTAGTGTAAATGAATTGGAGGTATGCCTTTTGATAGTTCATCCACATTTACCAGTCTACATGAGAAACAGTACATGGAATGAAATCTAAAAGTTAAGTACTATTTTATAACATCCAATGGTGTGGGAAATAATGGCATTGAAATCATACAAAAGATTGAAGACGTAAAACTATGTGAAAATGAAAATTGAAACTGAGAGGAGAATTAAATGTAAGTAACTATATCTATAATGTTAACAAATTTTGACAAGATTGAGCTGAATCTGATAGTTGCAAGGATGGCATAATGAGCATGGGATGGTAAACTCACCAAACGTTTGGAAAAAAAAAGGAAATACAAATCTAATAGAAGAACGGTGATGGTACTTAAGAAATAATAAAAGAATATTTCTGAACAATTTGTCCAAGTGTTCTTAGAAAGTGCCATTCTAGCCTCCAAAATCAGTTTTCCAGGCAACTCGCCTTTTTAATTCATGAATCCTACAATGTGCCTCTCTTCCCATGGGATTCATGTCCCGCTGCATGAGTTTGTGTGTGAGAGAGGGTTCAAACATGTAGAAAATTGTAATGTAAGTTATATTATTATGGAATTTTGTTTTCTGAACATGAGAATGAAAATAATATGGAATCTGACCACCCCAACTCTGACTTATCTGTTAGTTTTCGTCTGATATTTTTCTTTTTTATGGACATAATATTTTTCGAATTTTGACCTACTATTATACAGCTGTTTTAATGCAAATTAAAATTATATATTGCATATACCTGGTTCCCTTCATGATGACTGGTGGTTTGCAGATATGAATTGCTTTTCTACCCAAGATATCACCTCGATCAAAGTTCACTACTTTGTCGGAAATCATTGCTTGCAAAGCCAATCGTTATGGATGTTTATCAAGACTATTTGCTTGTCACTTATCGCCCGTTTGATGTTCATATATACCATGTCAAATTATCTGGTGAATTAATACCTTCCAATACGCCAGATTTACAGGTAACAAAATGCTTCAAAAAGGACGTGCTTACTGTTCTATGTTAATAATTTTGAAAATGAGAGTTGTAATAGAAATTTATTCATCATGCCTTTTTAAGTGATAAAATGACATACAGATTTCTACAGTACGAGAGCTCTCAATCATGACTGCCAAGAGCCATCCTGTTGCAATGCGTTTTATCCCCGACCAGCCTTCACAGGAGTACATATCAAGAAATGATATCTCATCCGATGTGTTAGCCCGAGAACCTGCCAGGTATTTATACTTTCAATTTCCACAGCTGTAGATAGGATCTTCGGGGTGCCTTGTGCTGATAGCTGACCACGTGTCTTTAGATGTTTAATATTGAGGATGAATGGGGAACTTTCGCTGCTTGATTTGGATATTGGGAGGGAAAGAGAGCTCACTGACTCTGTTGAAGTATTTTGGGTAACCTGTGGTAAATCAGAGGAGAAAACTAACTTAATTGAGGACGTTTCATGGTTAGACTATGGGCACCGGGGGATGCAGGTAACAGGTTTCTTAAAAAGTTAAAATCTTCTGATAAAATATCTATTGTAGTCGACACGTCTCATATATTGGATGTAAGCTCATCTACAGGTTTGGTATCCATCTCCAGGTGTGGATCCTTATAAGCAGGAAGATTTCTTGCAGGTATTGAAGTATTAGTTTTATGATCACGTGAACTCTTTGAGCTACTTTTGTTTTCCTCTTGTAATTTGTTCTATGCGATAGGATGTTAGGCCAACATAGAATCATTCATGTCCAAATATTAACCTATGAGGTGGATCTTGTCGCTTATATAGTGAGGAACCAGTTATAAAACAGTAAGAATTGTTGTTAGATATTGTATTCCCTTTGATTCCATTTTACCATTTGTAGTGTTAGGTTTGTCTCAAGTTTCATACTGGCAGACTTGAAGCTTAAAGATGCACAATTTGCAGGCTTTAAAGATAAACAGATCTGGATGTAAGGATAGTATAGATTCTGGAACTTAAATGTGATATTGATTAAACGAATAATCCATATTACTAGAGCAATTAATAACGCAAAATAAAAAATGAGAGCGAGAATAACACACGAAAAGTGTACAATATATTATAGTCTGCACATCCAACAAAATATAGGGAGGAAGCTCAGAGTTTCATTATAAGGCAGAGAAGACGGATCTAGAAAAGCCTGTTAAAACCAAATTATGTAAGTAGTCTAAGCTTTGATACCTGGCTCTTTTGCTGCACCTCAGGTATAAACTTGTGTCAGTTACTTGACCTATTAACCGACCAATTATAAACCTCAAATCATGCATAACAGGACACAAGCTATTCTTTTAACTTATCTGATTGATTTTTGAAGCTTATATTTTTCAGTTCCTTAGATTGAGTAATCATAGATGTAAAAGAAGACCCTAAATTTGTGAACAACACGGGGTTGAATTTGTTGATTCTTGAATATAGAGATATCTTTAATGAACTGCTCTAATGTCTTGTGCACTCTGCATGAGTGGTTTCAAGTGGTTAGGGCCATTTGGTTTGTGTTTCAATACTGAGTTTTAAGTTCATTTCAATTTTCTATTTTGAGAATTTGTTTTGAGTTTTCTCAAAACGCGTTTGGTTTTTCATTTTGAAAAATTATTTTTCAAAACCAAAAACACGTTTGATTTGAAATTTTGAAAAATTGTTTTATGACATTTTATTCAATGAAAATTGATTATTCAGTAAAAATTAAATAATTTTATGTTAATATACTATCATGTAATATTACATTTTAAAGTTAGTGAATCTTTCAATATTTGTTTTCGCTACAAAATTAAAATTAAAATAAATAATAAATTGAGTTTATGAAATAAAAATAAAAATTAATGATGTGGATTGAGGATATTTTTATCCTTGTTCACTTAAATATTTTTAAAATTTTTTTGTGTAAATATTATTAAGAGCCTTGAACTATTTTTATTTATTATTTATTAGTTTTTGTAATTTATATTTTTTAAGAAATTTATATAATTTATAATTTTTTAAGAAATTTTTTAATTTTTAATTATGCTTTTTGAATTTATTTATTTTTAAAATTTTATAGAAATACTTTGTTTCATGTTTTAAGTGTGTTCAAATTTTCACTGATAACGCCAAAAATTTATCCTTGTTTTTGAAAATGCATTTTCAGAAATATCATACCAAAAACATTTTCAGTTTTTGCCAAATTGAAAACTAAAAATAGTTTGAAAACAGCAAACCAAACACACCTCTAATTACCTAAAACTTCATTTTGGCCAGTGATTTTATCGCTGTATGTTTTTGATATGATATTCAATTGTTAGTGTCATTGGTAGTCAAGAACTTTGAGATAGTCGTTATAGTTTATTCTGCTGTTAAAGCTAACTTTTTTGGTCATTACAATTTATTCTTGTTTTCTGAGTAATGAGATTTGATGTACTTTCTTAGTTGGACCCAGAGCTGGAATTTGATCGTGAGGTATACCCTCTTGGTCTACTTCCAAATGCTGGTGTTGTAGTTGGTGTTTCCCAGAGAATGTCATTTTCAGCATGTACAGAATTTCCATGTTTTGAGCCATCTCCTCAAGCACAAACCATATTGCATTGTCTACTTCGGCATCTCCTTCAGGTGCAATTTTAGCTCTATTAATTTGTGCAAGCAGTTAGTAATTTTAGAGACATCGCTCCATGTGAGGGAGTGCTAGTTCTGGAGCTGCATACTGCACCACCTTTGAAATTGGCCCATGGCCGGTCAATTTGGACTTTTTAGTCTAGGATGTTCAATAAAGTAGTAAATAAACAATACCTTTCTAATTAAAATAATAAATATCAATACCTGCTTATCTGTTATCTTTTGCCACTGAAAAGTTTCTCACTGCTTGTTTGGCAGAGGGATAAAATAGAAGAAGCTTTACGCCTGGCACAATTATCAGCAGAGAAGCCACGTTTTTCTCATTGCCTGGAGTGGCTTCTCTTCACAGTTTTTGATGCTGAAATTTCCAGGTAACTATTTTAGGAAAATGTCTATTCGTGCTTTCAAAATATTTCACTCCTCCTTCCCTTACTTATTGGCATTTTCTTTGGGTACATTAGAATTGAAACACTTATTTTGATATTCACTGGCAACTGGATAAGATTTCTGTAGTCATCTATTTTCCTTTTGCATTGAGGAAAGTTTTTTCTAATTGGTGGTATTCCACATGAATTTTTGTTGGTTTTCTTTCTCATAAATCAAATAAATATTAAATTACGCACCAACTTGTCTGACCACTAAGGACATATCAAATCATCAATTATGGATGGATGGATTATTGAATAAAAGATAGCCTTTTGTTATGTGGTGGCTGAAGACTGGTCATGGAGGATGTTTGATCCAAAAAAAGGACAAGTTGACCTAATTTTCCAGCATCTTTTCCTGTATTGATCTTTATTAAATTGACATGTCAACAAATTACTTATTTGAAGAAAAAATATTGGTCGTATGTTCGAATTGTTCTGTCATGGCTTCTTTTTGCATATTTGTGTATATTTATGTTCATTCTTTGATGGGGGAGGGTGTAATGACCCGACTTTTATGTTCAAGCCGTTAACTTATGTACTGGCCGCTTTTGATAGATATATGCTCACTTACCCCCTCATGGCTTTCTATCGCGTCCCCAAAATTCACAATTGGTAACAGGATTCAACTTAAGTTTCTCATTAGATAGAGATCTTGGATTCGAATCTTGGGGAACGCAATAGAAAGCCGTGAGGAGTAAGTGGGCATATGTCCACCCAAAGCGGACAGTATGTAAATTAATGGCTTGAACATAGATGTTGGGTTGTTACAGAGGGTGGTAGGTTGGACATCTGTTTTGGAATTTTGTCGAATTTCTCTTTGCACTGCGATTTGTCCTGTATGAACATTTCTTATAAATGCTTTAAGCATCTTACATATCTCTAACAATTGCCTGCAGAACAAATTCTAGCAATAACCAGACAGCAGTTGCCAATTCTTCTCTTTTGATGAAAACTTGCGATCTGATTAGAAACTTTCCCGAATATCTTGATGTTGTTGTCAGTGTTGCAAGAAAAACTGATGGTCGACATTGGGCAGATCTGTTTTCTGCTGCCGGGAGATCAACAGAGTATGTATCAGTTTTTATTTTACATTGAGTTTTTTTAATCCAAAAAAAGGCAAAAAGTTGACATAAGTTGATGAGGAAAATAAATGTACGATCTATTTATTTTTTACTTCAAAAAATTAGAGATTCTAATTAAGAATTTCACCGGAAGGTACCTGGTAGGGTGCACAATTACTTTCTGAATAACTCTATCAAGAGAAGCCAATCGTTGAGTTCTTGAACTGCAATTATTGCATTGTGTAATCCTGTTAACTATGCTGGTCCATTTACAGATTTTATTTGTTACAAAACAATGATAGTTCCAAGGTTTAAAAAGGCGAAACTAAGTACTGAGCCGGTTTTTCTTTATGAGGCGAGGCTTAAACCTCGAGGTTAAGGACGGATCGAGGACCGGATTACAGGTCGGGCTAATACGTAAACAAAATAAAATTACACATGATTTTTTTATTTTACATAAATTTTATTTTTTTTTCTAACTAAATTTTTTTTTTGGGGGGGGCCCCTCCATCCATCCCTACTTAAGGTGATTACGCCTCACAAAAATTAAAAATCTAAATAAAAGAATTATAAAATAATACAAAAATACAAAAAAAATCAAAGTTGGAGCATATAGTAAATATGATATATAGCAATTAGCATATTGAGCTATAGTTTACCTAAAGAAAGAAGATATTTAGCCAAAAAAAAAAAAAAGCATTACAGAAGTTAGAAATCACTCCATTTGCAATGGAAAAAAAGAAGCAGCTTAAATTAAAAAAAAAGTCTAATAATGTACACTATCATCACCATTACTAGTATCATTAATGGAATCATCAGCATATCTAATTTCCCCATCATCTTCCTCTTCGCTACTCTCAATTTCTACAAAATCATCTTCCTCATCCACCAATTGCAATGTGACATTTTCTTTCCCCGTAAATTCAATAAAAAGCAATCCGTTAATATAATTTCATAAATAAAAGCAATTTTGAATTATAAAAGTATGAATACCTTTTCGTGGAAAAGTTCTTTTCCTAATAGGTTGACTTTGTGTACGTGTAGAACTTTCATTTCCCTTTGATTGTAAAAAATTTAGACTCGAGTCGTCATCATTTACATCGCATGTGTTTGATGGAGCTCCAATATCGTGATTTGCAATCCATTCATCATTGGATGAAACTTCCTTTAGAATCAAAGGATCTTCACCCTCTTTAAGTGACTTCAATAGCCTATGTCGATCTTTGAGCTTCTTGTTATAATTGATGTAAACCAAAGTATGCAATTTCTTTGTTCTCAAACGATTCCCTCTCTTAGTATGTACTAAATTATTGTTTTGTTTGGGTCCAAAATGCCTTTTTAAATGGACGCTTTTCTTTTTTAAGAATGACTCTTTCTGATTTCTTTTCATACAATTGAAAAATCAAATTTTAAATGAGGGCACACCTCATGCTCCATGAGAGATTTAGAGGTGTGAGCCTCATATTTTTAGTCTCAAAAATACCGGCTCGAGGCATACTACATGTGCCTCACAGTAAGAGGTGAGCCTCACTACCGCCTTTTTAAACTATGGATAGTTCTAATAATCTAATTAAAGGAGGCTCGTTGAATCCCTAAAAGCAACTAATTGAATCTCGGTGAGGTAAATTTAAGAATTATTGACCTTGGGGAAGAATTATACAAATGATAGCCAAATTTCAGTAAAAGTGGTACTCTGTTTGAACATAACCTGTGACACAACCTTAGAGAATTTATGAAAGTTGTGTAATACCTCTTCCGCAATTATTTGCATTATAACGGATTGTCTATTTTCTACTTAAATATCTTGACCCGATCATGCATCTCTGCTATGTGAAGTAACTTTTACTTGAATTTTGATGTATGTTTTTATTTAAAAAAAAAAAAGAAGCTTTGGACAAGTAATCTTAATCGGTTAGAAGTATTTATTCCTATACCATGTTGGATGTGAAAAGTGAATTGGCAATTATATGAAAATTTATCTTCTGTTTTTGCCTTGGTTGTGATCAAGTAGTGGACTCAATTAAAAATTAATCCAATTGCAACGAAATTAATTATTCAATAGTTCTTGTCTTTTACCTGATTAGGAGAAAGAGAGAGTACTTTCAATGCTAAGATGAGGAGTTATTCAGCTCTTCTGTCTTTTGTCATCATGAAGTTGCAACTCCAGGACGAGATTTCATGACAAAATGCATGGGTTTACTTTATTCCACCAACAAATTAAACTCATTAAGAAAACTTACGTAATGCTGAGGAGTTACCAGTTCGTTCTTTGCTTTGTGATTGATAAATCAATCGTTTTTTTTTTAGGTTGTTTGAAGAATGCTTCCAACAAAGATGGTATCGTACGGCAGCCTGCTATATACTCGTAAGTGCCATCTGCAATATTGTTTTGTTAAGCAGTTTGATATGGAATTAGTGTAATGACCTTAGTCTTATCTCATTTTCTTTTGTTGGTTTAAAGGATAGAAAGATATTCCTGCTTGAAATATTTTGTATTATATTTAATGACCTTAGTCTTATCTCATTTTGTATTTTGCTTCATGATAATACTCATGCATTTTACTCAAAGAGGATTCTGTTGTACTTGATCTGGGTAAATGAGATTTTTTGACTGAAGGTTTTTTAATATACTGAGGAAAAAGTGAGACAAATTCGAAATTCCCTTGCGCAACATCTGTTGTATGCAAATGATCCTCACATGCTGATTGCTGGTGTATTTTGTGATGTGTACTGCTACAGGTCATTGCTAAGCTCGAAGGTCCAGCTGTAAGTCAGTATTGTGCCCTGCGTTTATTGCAGGTGAATATAGACTTTCTTATGTCTTCATATATGCATATCTAGCCTTGGTTCTATAGATATACCGACATATATGTTAATTGTATTGTGAATTTCCAGCATACATCATTTCTGTAAGGGCTCAATGTACTTGACTTTTCCCTTGCTAAAAATGCCTACATGATTGATTCTGACAACTTCTGCATGTTTAGGCAGCACTTGATGAATCTTTATATGAACTGGCTGGGGAGCTGGTACGTGGCCCTCGTCATCTAATGTACTCAGGAAGATGATTACTCTTCTGATTATTTGCAATTTAACTTTTTCGTCTTGAATTGTTTTGGGCATTAGGTGAGGTTTCTCCTGAGATCTGGAAGAGAATATGAACCCACCAATACAGATTCTGAGAAACTGTCTCCCAGAGTTCTGGGCTATTTTCTTTTTCCTTCCAGTTTTAGGAGGCAATCTTCAGACTCGAAAAGGTAAATATTGACCGGGTTAGTATTTCATTTACTGGTTTGCAATTATTTCAGTTTTCTATCCTGGTCTTATCTGATGGTGCTAGTTGACCTTTTCCAATTCTCTGAATGTAAAGCAGCTCTTCGTTTGAAGATCAGAGTGCAAATGTTGCTTCTGTTAAAAACATATTAGAAAGTCATGCAAGCTATTTGATGTCTGGGAAAGAGCTTTCAAAACTTGTTTCATTTGTCAAAGGAACACAATTTGATCTAGCGGTAAAAAGAGAGTTTAGTTTAGTGATTATATTCTCTGTAATCTCTGGAGATTTTAGATTCATGGTGAAACTTATTTCAGGAGTACCTTCGGCGCGAAAGATATGGAAGTGCACGATTGGAGAATTTTGCTTCTGGATTTGAAATGATAGGGCAGAAGGTACTTTGTATCTAGATATATCTGTTCATGTGCCGTCATTGCATTTTCTTAAATACTTTCTTGGCTGGTGGATGGTGAAGTCCTTATGCAATACCTAATTATCTTGGACTTTCAAAGCTATCATCTACATCTTTCCGTGTTTTATCTTTTTGCTCTGTTTGATGAACGCCATGTAGTTACTTCTAAATTTTGTGGCCTTGATTTCTTAAGTATCTAAAAATTTAACCTTTTTTCTATGCATGATTTTGCTGGATGCGTCAATTGAAATTGCATGAAGACTTTATTTTTTCTGGTGCAACTGATCTGAGATAGAGTTGAAACAGCTTAGCAGTCTTCATTGGATTTCTGATTGTTATTCCGATATATATGCTATACAAATCAATATAAAAATAAATTCGGATTAGAGAAAAATTTCTTATATCACCCAATTAAAAGTAACACAGCTCGAAGAAATTTTTTTATCTTTTTAATCTTTGTGTCAGTGAACAAGCATAATGCATTTAAAATATTCCTAGTCTATTCATGTGAAGCAATTTATACATTCATAGTACCATTAGAGTCTCCTTACTGGTCATGTGTACAATGTTTTCAAAAGAAATGCTAGGAAGATAGTTAGGGGTGGGGATAAAAGGTAAAAAGCTAGATAGACGTTCTATAAATAAAGCCCATGTTTGAGCTACATTAAAATTTTTATTTTCATTCTCCTACTCATTTTCGACCATACATTCTTTGATAAAATAATATTTTTCATTACATCAATAACTTTTCTTTCTTTTTCAACCACACATTCTCCATCAATCTACTATTCCAAAATACATTCTTCCAAAATAATGTGGCTCAAACACACCTAAAATGTACAAGATTGCTACATATACATCAAAAGCTAGAGCTACTCTAGGCTTACAAGCTATGACCTTATTAAATGGGTACACGAGCGACGAAGTTAAGGATTTCTTTCGATGCTCTAAGTTAAACAGAAGGCTCGTTCTTCATATTGAGCTGACTCTGGTTCGGTAAAATCTGAGAGGTCAACTTCATTGACTTATTCATGCATGTAATTTCACTGAGATTGTGTGCATTTGCTACATATATTTGATGAGGAAACTAAATTCTTAAATATATGCAACCTGTTTATTATAGTTCGTAACTTGATAAACCGGGCAAATGATTTTCTTGAGGGTGATAACATACCCAAATTGGTGGGTTCATTATCAACTGTCTTCTTGTAAGCCAATAGTTGAGTTTCAAATTGAGTAAGAACATGTTTGGTTATTCTTTTTAAAGGGAAACGTACATATAAAGACGGAAATGTAAAAAAGCGAACTTTAGAAGACCAAGTGATTGTTGGTTGAAAGAAGAAAAAGTTTGATCATACACTTTCCAAGTTCTTCCGTTGATTTGTTTTTTGTTATTTTTATTTAGCTGCAAATGGGAACATTGCAAAGTCGGCTGGATGCAGAATTTCTCTTAGCAAACATGTGCTCTGTCAAATTTAAGGAGTGGATAGTGGTTTTGGCGACACTTTTGAGACGTTCAGAGGTATAATGTACATGTTCTATATAATACATGTTCCCCATACAGAGCTCAGCCCTGCATTAATTCCCTGATTTTTATATAGTTTCAAATAATATTTTCTTTCAGAGCTATTCAGATCATTATTACTGTCCGCCAATCATGCTTGTCCTATTAATTTTTAAATAATAAATAAATTTATTTAATCACATTCATAGTAATAAGCCCCTATTTGGTTTAGCTAAAAAATAGATTTTTAGCAGATTTTGATAAAAGCTGATGAAATGTGTAGTTGAAAAGTTGTGGGTTCTATGAAACGTGTAGTTGAAAATAAGTTTGACGAAATGGGGCCAAACAGGGGCTAAATATGGTTGCATATAATAGAGCTGTCACTGCTCAACTTGGAAAAAGATTTTTTTTCGTGGATTCCCTTATTCTTTTAAAAAACTTTGGTCCACGTTTAAGACTTTTGTACCCTAATTAGGACAGACTCCCAGAGTTTATTGCTTCATCAGTTTGATAATATGCTTAATTTATTTTTGTGCTCAGGTCCTCTTCGACTTGTTTAGTCACGATTTGCGATTGTGGAAAGCTTATAGCATTACTCTAGAGGTATGGATTTTTATGGAATTATGACCGCAGTTCTTAATCATTTTTACGTTGCTCACTCCGGTTTTGCCATGTTACATAAAATATGCAGACACACCCAGCATTTGCTGATTACCATGATTTGCTTGAAGAGTTGGACGGAAAGCTTTCAAGCTTTCTAGTATCTGGAGCTACTCGAGAATCTTGAAGGATGTTTGAAATCCACGGTTTAGCTAATCCTCTTGTTAATACATTCGTGATTCTGGAAGTTTTGGCTACTCTATCTGGGGCAGACGGGAGATTTTAGCGTCCTATTCTGGGAAATCGCATCATGAGCCGTGTGTGACATGATCATCGTGATAATAGTCCCACACAAATTATTGTAAGCATTCTGTCTGTGTATATAAACACCATACCATGTTTGCTGCCTATTTTAATTTTTTTTTCACTTATTTTCTTTGCTAAATTGAGAGGAAGAGAGATGAACGGCTATTGTAGGATTTAGACAAAAAGAATTTGTTTGGACAATGCATAGATGGTTAAATTTTGCTGCTGAAATACTCTTTATTGAAAATAATGTTTATCTAAATTTGTTCTTCATTGTATATGTTCAAATTGTAATCATACCATGAATTATATGCTACAAATCTACGATTCTATTTCTAATAAATATGGCTGTCGATTGTGAATCCAGCATCATTTGTGATATCCCGTCGCCCTTCTTCCTCTGCGGAACTCTAGTTGTCCCTTCCCAACGCTCGCGCACTCCCTCTGAAAATCTCGAAAGATTAAAAAAAGTGGAGGTGGAGGATCGAAGAGGAGGTTGGGAAGGGGAGGATTTCTCTGGACCTAATTATTCTGAAGAAAGATGGGTATAGATCTCGGGCAAGAATGTTTTGAAAGATCCAAAATAAAAAAATACAGTATTCACTAGCAACAACATAATGAAGAGGTAGTAATAGTCCGTCCATACATAAAATCCTATTTTATCCAGCATGTTAACTAATGAACTACATTAAATTTGATCGAGTTTTTGTTGTTCTTTTTCTGCATGCCTCGACTTGACATGAGCATGACAAGAAAAAGTTCTCTGACTACACACAAATTTCAGAAATCTTGGTGTCTTCGCTGGAAAGTTGCTCGTTTACTTATAAAATCATTCGGTTTTTCTTTTATCTTCTACGAAGGACTGTGCGCCGTGTCTTAGTCTCAGTGTGAATTTTTTTAAAAAAACCCTAAATGATGTTGGGGGTAAATAAACATCAATAATTTTCATAGTTAGAAGCAAAAGTTACTTTGCAACACTGTTTCCTCCTGAAGATGGGGTGCCCATATATTACTTCATTCATTCAAATATGTATTTTACACAAAACACTACTATGAATTTTACACACCACTCAAGCTTATTGTTACTGCATATTCTATTGAGAAAATTGTTTCAAATACACAATATATAAATCGTCATCGAGATTTTATATATTTATTTTCACCTCTTCATCTTCAGAACTACGAGATCACCCCTCACCAGCTGAAGCTGATGGACTCAAAATGAAGATTATCTGCCAAACCAGAAGAGCATATGGCTGCAACATCGTGTCTCATTTTCTTAGGTCCACTAACAAGTACACCAATGCTTGATCCTTTGTTCTCCAACAATATTCCTACAAAATCCCATATCATTTTTAATCTTGTTTCACTAGAAAGAGATTGTAAAATATGCTTCCAAATGATAATTATTGTAATATTGAAGAAGAAAAAATAAAGAACTTGAAAGAGATTTGGAGTTTCTTACTCTGGAGGTCAGGCCTTTGACCATAATGCACATTGATAGACTTGATAACTGATTGTTGAGGAAGGCTTTCCAATTCTCTCTCATCACCGCCAAATGAAGATTCACTAGTCACCGAATCTTCCATGTCGAGAATCTGCTTGGCTTCGCTTGAATTCCGTTTCTTGTTCCACATAAATGCACCGGTGGCCATTAAAACAATCGAAGAACATATGAAAAGCATGTTCATCAAAGCCTTCTTGGGGTAGGAATAGAGCTTATTGGTGTTTTGATCAATAGGGTAAATGATATATTGAGTGAAAACTCCAAGAAGCACAAGAAAAACAATAAAAGATGATGAAATTATTGCACATAGCCAAAGCCAACTATTGGGGCCTAAAGTGGGGTATATAGGTGCATCAGAAGGTTTAGGCCTGAAAAATACAGTTTGTGGGGTCTGTAGTTTGTCTTTTGGATTCCCTTTTTCTCTTGTAATATAGGCTTCAACCTGGAGGTCTAAATTGGTGCAAGATTCTGATGAGGGAATGCCAGAAATTGGGAGAATTAGGTCTAATATGGAGAGATGTGAAGAATTCTTGAATACAGTGATGAGTTTTAATTTAGGAATGTTGTGGGATTGAGATGTGGAATTGATGTAGATTAGCTCTCTGATTATTGATATGAAAGGGGTGATTCCACTGCCTCCACTGACCATCACCAGCATGTCATGCCTGCAACCAATGAAATTTGTCCATTGTTAGTCAAGCACTCACATCAATTATGAGCATGCACCCGTGTGTACATGCATATACACGTGTTAGTCTTATTTAAGAGCTTAAATTGTTAGACATGAGTTTAAGCATATTTTATCTTCGACGCTCTTGGTAGTACTTCATCAAATGATTTTTATTTTATACCCAGCCAGGACATTCAGTTAAGGTTCAAAAGTTCGACCAAGATTCCATGGGAGTCATTCTAGAGGTCAAAAATAATGTCACACGCGCAGGCGCACACAGAGAGAGAGAGAGAGAGGTATTTAAAAAAAAAGAAAAAAAACTTCCCATTCTTGAACATTCAAAGGCATAATAAGAAACTTAAATGAATTGATCAGTGATCTAGCTTTCATCCCAATGTATATGTATGCGATTTTCTGCATACAGCTAGATCAGTTTCTGCTTCGATGTTCAAATTTTTCTCTTCAAGTTGGTCAGTCTTGTCTAGTTTTATTAATATCAGTTAAACCAACTCGTGAAAACCCAAGTCATTAGGAAGAACTGTTATTATGCAGTTTGCAAGTAAACTTACCTGAGAAAATTTGTAGCAGCAGGTCCATATGGTCCTTCAACTGAAACTTCAAGACGACGATTCGTCAAAGAAGAAGGAGATGAAATCAAATCATAGAGATTTTTAGTCCAATTTCCTTCACATTTGATGACAACACTAATCCTATCAGGTTCCAAATTACTATTTGAAGTAACAGTGAAAGGATGCCACTGCAGCTTTGAAATGCTAGGAACATTTATGAACATAGTGCTTGTTGGACTGTAATTCAAATCTGCAAGAGAAAATTTAGAAATTTAATGGTAATTGGTAAATCAATCATTAGAATTTGAACCAGTTCGGACTTCGGACTTCGGATTTGTTTCTTTTTGTGGGAATGAAAGGTCGTCAAGGGAGAGTACAATACTAGTATCTGTAGAGGAAAGGATAACCTGAGCATGTTTGGCTAAGACTAAAAAGTTCACTTGTAGGTAGATAATTTTTGAAATAAATAATTTTTATTGGACCATATGTGTGTGCTACATGTTATGTAAATCATACCTCTACCCTTTGAGAAATTCAATTCTACAGTTTCACACGGTAGAACACGAGCAGATACAAGCCGGACTTTTTGTCTCGACTGTAAGAACCTCAAGTAGCGATCGATGACAAAGAGATAAAAACCAGGGAGCATAATGCATGCAAAACCAATTCCAATGTGTAGAATGAAGAAAATGATGAAGGGAATGTAGAGATAATGAGTGTACAAGAAGAGCTCAAACATTTTTCTTCTTATATTAGGGTAAGTTGTCATCCACAAAGACAATCCACATAACAAGCCTATTTCTCCAGCTACATTTGACACATTATGTTGATCCCAGTTGAGCATCTGCATAAATTCATACAACAAGAGACAGAAAGTTAGAGTGTGAGTCTGCATGCCTGCATGGGTCGTGCGTATGTTTATCGATCTAAAAAAAGTGTCGGGGTTGCATTATATTGATAGATCAAGAACACACTAGTCGATTATAAAGCTACGAAAGTAGTTCCGATTGTGAAGGTTCTTATATGACGAGTAAAAGTGAAAATTTTGACAGGTCCTTCAATATAATTCATCATCAAACACTATTCCCCTAGGAAAAACATTATGTTTGTCAAACATTTTCTTGATTTTAGGGTATTATAAATATATCTCAAAATGTTTCTTTTCTATGTTACAAAGAGTAAGTATATTTCTATGCTGATGGGATCATGGTATAGGATTGACCAATATAGAAAATGGGTCGAACCAACCTTTTCATCATGAACAAGCTGACTTCACCCTCCAACCCATATCCATCCCAAATTCACAAATTTTTAAGAGGTATAATTATTTTCAGATATTAAAAAGAAAATAAAACTTTTGCTCATTGTAAAAAAAGGCTTCTGGTGATCTTGCTATCAATCAAGAGGATTTCATGTATTATGAAATAACCAAAATCGATTTACGAAAATTTAAATACCAAATTGTTTTCCACAGTTATTCCGAACCTAACAGAATTAAATAAAAATTGAATCTTTTCATTTTTGGGTGAGCGACTTTCTCATAGTCGCTTATAAGGAAAAATAATAATTCTACAGTGGTTATGTGACGATGACATCAATTCTTGTTATTATTATATTTTAAAAATAAATAAATTTACACTGTTTTTAAGAATTTCAATAATTATTTTTTAAATCGAAAATTAATATTCTCAATAAAATTGAAATAAAATAAATCATCATGAATAACCGTGATATAAAGTAAGGTATAATCAACCTATCCTACATAATCCTTCGCTAAATTAAATAGCAACCAACGTAAGTTTATGAGCCACTTTATATCCTCTTTCGAGGAATAAAGTAACACATACGACAGCTGGCTTCTTCTAACAAATCAAATATATAACGGAAAAAAATCGCACCCTTTGCAAAATGAAAATACAATATGATCTAATCTTTTGTTTTATTATATATAATTTTTAGACAAGTCACAATCCAATTGGTATAATTGGAGCACTGAATTATGGCCCATAAAGCTTGCTTGAAAATCAATCAATTTGTGATCATTTCTTGATTGATTCTTGGCCATGATTTCATGGTCCCAACAGAAGAAATTCCATGATGAACCAAGTGGGCTAGACAACTAAAAATGGTTCTTTAGTGATAACACCAAGGACAATTTTTTGTGGACAATTTGATTTGCCACTCCTATATATGTTAAGATTTAGGTTGAAAAATTGGATACCATATTTTACTTTTTAAGAAAGTGAGTGGAGGATACGTGTTAACATATGACGATAGTTATAGATCACATTTATGTCAGATGAATGTATTATTAAACAACAAACATTTTTTTATTTTTTTTGCGTGTGCGTAAAAGGTTAAAACATTTTACTTGTTTTTGTGCGTACTTTATGTCAAGATTCTCCAAGTGGGCTCTTTGATCGAAAAGTTGGATAGTCTAATCTACTTCCTAAGGTAGTGAGTGAAGCATATGTATCAAAATGTGACGATAGTTATAAGTCACAGTTACGAAACATGATATTATTAAGTGTCAATATTTGTTCTTGCGGACGAAGGGTTAAAACGTTTTACTTATTAATTATCTTCAATGGTATATGCTGCATATATAAGTTAGGCTTGAGAATTAGACCCAATTAAAGAGTATTAAAATTTGAAATTCAAGGTTAAAGCTGCTAAAAATTAATCTAGTATGTTACAGTATAGAATTTTAAACTAAGATGTTTAAATATTAATTAGTAGTAAACCTAATTGGATTAAAAATACTGAAAGCTAAAAAAAACATTGATGCATTAATGAAACCAAACCATGATATTTTTAACTTTTGCTCTTTTTAAATTTTTAAGTCAAAACTTGCTTCTAAAAATGACCACCTTTGGGGGAGTCCCACTCTATAGACAATTAATTCAAAGGAAATGATACCTTGTTTTTCACTCTTTTGAAATCAAAGTGTTAGGTAAGTCCACTAAATTATGATTAAAGTGAAAAAATAATCATAATCAATGGGTATGATTGAGTGATTTCCTTTGATTTTCTCTATGATTAGATATTGACATTGAAGTCTTCAATCCTTATTGGATGAAGTAACCGTTGAACCACCTTATTTATAAGTGTCATTTACTTTACACTCAATAAGTCTTTCGTGTAATGCTCAAATTTTTTCATAAACTAGTGACAATGAGTTCGACATCGTTACACCATAGGGATACTTCGAATAAACTGAAGTGTATAATTATGGCGACACTAATCGAATAGATTAGGATGCCCGACTACATTTCTTTTCTGAAAGAGATTAATTATTAATATTTGATTTTGCTTCAAATATTGGGAAATTTATCTTGGTTAGAAAGATTTAGAATTACCTTGCCCTTTTCTTGCCCACAAAACATATCAAGTTCTACCTAACTATATGATAATATGTTGATGAAAATCTTAAAGACCAAATTGAAATACTTATTGCGTGTATTTCCAATCAAAACAAAAATAAATAAATAATAAAATAATTTTTGTATAAACATATTTTTCATTTCGCATCTTATCCATTCTAGTATGAACATACATCTATCTTAACGTCCTTATACGAGGCTTATAAGTATATTTATACATAACAAACTCTTGAAAGAAAATGGGAAGAAATTTTACCTCTGATAATCTATGAGTGAGAGTCCAGTAGGTAATATAAAGAGAACCATGAATGGTAAAGAGGGTCATGGCTATATTTCCAAGCCACATATGATACTTGATGCTACCCTCAGAAGTTAGCCCCAACATGGGTAAAATAGATGAGCCTCTTGTCACTGGATAGAATAGAAATGTTAAACATACATTTCCCGCTAGGCCAAAAACTATGGCCACTCTATCGAACTTGGTTTGCCACCTGCCAAAAACGACTTGAAAATTTTATATGAAATACATATAGATACACTTGTCTAATACACGCATGTCATAGAAAATATAAGACGAGAAAGGAAGACTATCAAAGAGAAGTCATTCACACTTTCCGCCTTGTGCCGTGGAGAGTAGAGAAACTTGCTTAAACCAGTAAAAGTAAACGCAAAAATTATGTGAAATGTGCAGAAGGTATGAGGTAGATACGCTTGTCTAATATACGTGCTTGAGAATAATATAAGATGTTAAGGGAGATGGGCAAAGAAAAAGGTTTCTTACACTTTTTCGTGTCGTTGCATTTGGAGTAGAGGAACTTGCGTAAACCAGTAACGCACATAATATGAGAAATACCAAACATCAAGAGCGATGAACATAGTGAATAAAGCTAGCTCTGTCAATGTAACAATTCCGAGCCCCTTGATGATCATTGGTCGCTTCAAGAACTTGAATTTGTAAGCCCCTTTTTTGCTGGTCATTTGAAGATCATCAAAATACATCAAATAAGTTGAACTTAAGCAGTGAAAAAGTGAAAAAAGAAGGTAATTGATGCAATAAAAAGAACTTTACTGATAATATTTCCTACCTTGCTATGTTACTGTCACTGGTTCTTTTCTTTCCCAAATGCAGATATATACATCCCACAGCAGCTATGAATAAAATTGGGAATGTGAAATCCAGCATTATTGGACCTGCAAGGTAGAGATTGTTGAAAACAAAAATTATAATTATATAAATTTATGCCCCCCTCTCTAACAACTTAATCTTTCACAAGAGATGGTTCAACCGTTCATGTTTTGCCGCTACACTTATTTATGAAAATTGTACACGTGTCAAGCCCGTGACGTGAAAGATAAATTTGGCCTTCGCATAAGGCATGTCTGTTAGTCGAGGGTGGGTTTCGACGGTGCAAGTTTTGCCAAATTTATGGGCATGTTAGGCCTTTGATGCAAAACATAAATTCAGCCTACGCGTGAACAAGCGTGTTTAAGAGTTCAAGTTTCACCGTCACTTATTAACAAAAACTATAGACGCACCACCCACTGATGACCAAGATAAATTTAGGTTATGTCTGCAAGGAGGCGTCTTGAACCAAGGTTTTGGATACAAAACTTGGATGAAAAACACAAGGTCTTACCTTGTATTCCAAAGAAAGTTGAATTTGTATCAGCCAGAATATGTGGTAGCCATTTATCATAATAAGTATCAGTTGGCATAATGATCCACATCATAATATTCCCAAGAAAAACCAGAAGGGCTAGCACCAAAAGTGCTCCTTGGACACCATTGATAACTGTAGAGGAAGCCATTAATCTTTTTGCCTTTGAATCTCCTCTCTATGAAAGGAAATTTGTTAGTGTAAAATTGAATGCTTTGATGGGTTGTATATATATAACTTGTTTTTGTTACTGTTTGTGACTTGACAAGGTTATTTTAACCACTAAATGGACTGATGACCTCAACTCATCTGTCTCCAATCTTGTCTTGTACGTTTCTTTTCTTCTAGTTGTTTCTTTTTCCTTCAATATTTACTTTGCATTCGTGTGAGAGTACAGACGAACTATCTTCTAATTGGATTATGATAGATGTACATTATGGACTACACAAGGGTGTACATAATGTACACGTGGTGCTCTCCCTGCCTGGCCCACAGCCCCCTCCAATGGGAGAGCACCACGTGTACATTATGTACACCCTTGTGTCAAAGGCTATGTACTTCTAGCATAGTCCCTTCTAATTTTCTGTTGATTGGTAAGAAGGATTTTGCTATTTGTACAACCTAGAATGACAATGTGGCGTGTTGGCAAAAAATAGTTGACCATAAAAATAATTTTTTGTTTAAACTGTCCAATGACGTAATGCCACGTGGTATTTTGTAAACAAAGTTGTTATCCATGTTGTGCACCAAGCATGATTTTTGGTAAGAATGACCAAAAACTAGGCAATAAGATTCGTTCACCAAAATTGAGAATTAGAAAAAATTTGAATGAACGCAACTTTTATTTGATGACCAATAATGACGTTGGTTTAACATTTCTAAATGTAGTCCTAACTAGCTAATTCTTGAAGTGAATTCTTGAATTTGAAAATAGACCGATCTATTCAATGCTAGAATATACCTACTTCTTCCTTATATCAATAACTAAATCAAAATGCAATTATCTCCAAGAACAAAATGTAAATATAATCTTAAAAAATTGGTAAATTAATAAAACGTGTGCACATGATCCTCAAATGATGTTTCTTGCCCTAAATTTCAAGATCTCAGGATCTCGTGAATGTTTATCGTGAAAAATTGGGATCGACCGTCCAAATCTGACTTTGTTAATCGAGAATGTATTATTGATCAAGACCGAACTAAAATTTTATTTGGCCATTAGGATTGTCCCCATATAAACTTGTACTCTAACCCCTTTTTGGTTGCACTTCATGTTTCAAGTTTCATAACCTACCTTCGTTACGATGTTGTCTTAGATAAATATTTAAATACACTCTTTCAAGAAAAAATTTAGACTAACGTCTCAACTACTTTATATCTCTTTCTCTTGGAAAAGCTTTATGTAACCCACATATCTATACTTGTCATATTGAATGATAGATTTTACTCTTAACAACTTATACTTTTACATGATATAGTCTGACAGGATATCAAGCAAAAATGTTATGAGTACAAGTCTTAATAGATTTATGAAAACTCAACGTGTCTCGCATTTAATAGGAAAATAAATTTGCTTATATATGAAAAGTACGCATTGAAGATATAAAAATAAATTTAACTCATTATTATTGATAGTTTAAACTTTTGGATAACATAGTAAATATGCCCGTCACACGACAAGTACATTTTCTCTATTCTAGTTAGTTTTTGTTTAAGTAGATTTTGAAGTAGAATTTCTCACAGCGTGCATAGTACAAATAGACTCATTCTTTAATATTTTGTTTAAAGGAACTTATTTTTGTTTAAAAATTTCTTAACTATTCTTACTTCTTTTTAAACTAGTCGAATCAACACCATCCTCATCAAAATCGACTCCACCATGCTCAAAATCGATTCTCAGCCGTCAAAACTAACCCCTATTTTCTTTTTCCACATCTTGTCTTCTTCAAATACAAAGGGGAGGGGGGACACAAGGGGTAGGACACGTTGCTGGGAGGAGCGTGGGGCACGTTGGGCTGACGGGAGGTTGGAATGTTTATTGGGGAGGCGAGACAGGATGAGGTAGATGAAAAATGAAGACGGAGGAAGATGATGCACATGTGGGAGTATTGGAGATTTTAAGAAATATAACGTTAGTTTATCGAGTACAGCTTCTTGTACAAGAACTATAGTTTTGGAACTACCTTGTGGCAAAATAGCAGCATTATACACAGATACCCCGGTAGTTAGGCAGCAATTTTTAAAGATTGTGGTTTGGTTTGTGTTGTTTGAATGTCAATTTTCGGCCTAGGAACATGTTATTTGAAGTGGACACACACTCCAACAATATAGAAACACATACACACCTCTTAACGTGTAACTGCATTATTGTTTGAAAACCTGCTGTCACTTTACAATATTTTCAACTCAAGCATACTTACAAGGCAATCAAAACCTCTCACAAAACCAAAATTACGTAAGAGCCTTGGTGACCTTAAAATTTGAACGATGAGAATCTCGACCACCTAGAGCACGCTAAAACACACCGTTAGGGTGCAAATGTCACCATCCCAAAAAGAGTCCAACGACCGTTTACACTCGGACGAACAAGTCAACTGTTTAAGTGAAAGAAGATTCTATTGTTTACATATCATTTGTACATGAAAGGAAGATTAACAATCTTCCCATTTGCTGTTATATTTGCAAAGATCATTTTATCAAAGGATGAAAATTAGCTGGAAAAATGGAACAAATTAAAATAAACAATTTTCAAATCTCAATTGATTCAAGACATTTTTGCGTAGGAATGCTCAAATTTACCAACTGAAGCTGACGGATTCAAAATGCAGGTTAGCTGCCAAAACAGATGAGCAAATACGTGCAACCTCGTGTCTCATTTCCTTTGGTCCACAAACAAGAAGTCCAACACTCGATTCTTTGTTTTCTCTGATCATATATTGAATAGTTTATCGTTAAATCAATAAGACGTGCATACGATCCTCTAAATGATCGAGTTGTATTTGTTAAGGGATGGAATCCTACATCGAATAAAGATGTAAAACATAAACCAACTTATAAAGGATTGTGTTACTCCTCTTAAAAAGGTTGATATTTTAAGATTGAACCTCAAATTTTAACATGATATCAAAATCCATTAAGCTCTAACGAGCAATTTGATTAGATTAAGACTCCAAAAGTGAGCATACAGATTTCAAGATTGGTCTGTTCAAACTAGCTATCATCTTGTGAGGGCATATTAAGAGATAGAATCCTACATCGAATAAAAATGCAAAACATAAACCAACTTATAAAAAATTATGTTACTCATCTTAATAAGGTTGACCTTTTAAGATGGAATCTCAAATCGTAACAGCATTGTATTAACCTAGTGTGAAGTAGAAAGTCTCACAATATGCGTAGTGAATAAATTGGTGCATTTTCTATTTTTTTATTTCAAAATTTTAAATACGCTTACTATAAAATGTCGTCATCTTTTTTAAACTAGTCAAACCACTTGCAACCTGATCAGAATCGACTCCTAATTTCTTTCTTGAAAGCTTCTCTTCTTCAAATGCACGGAAAAGGGGGCATGGGGCTGGAAACGCGAGGGGAGGGGAAAGGGTACGCAAGGGGCTTGGACTGGTTGATGGTCTAAGTAAAATTTAGAGTAAAGTTTAGTAGTCATTGATAAAATTAACCCTTTTAAGAAAGATGGTGCTAATTTTATGTAATTTTGTTAAAAACTTTTTACAATTGTATGGTCGAGTACTGTATTGTCTATCTTAACTATCATATCGGAACTACCATCTTGCCTGTAGCAGCATCATAGATTGCTGGTTGTTAGGCATCAATTTCTTAAAGATAATGCTTTAGCAAGTTCTTGCTATTTGAAGTGGACTCACTCCAACAACTACACAGCAGCATCTAGATACCTCGTCAATTATAATTGCTTACTTTATTATTAGGAAAACCCTTTACAAGAATTTCAACTCGAGCATACTTTCAAGGCAATCAAGTGATTTTATTTTATTATTTTTTTATTTTTTTAGTAAATAAGTTGCACAAATTTCTTTGAAATGTGTATGGAATACAAGTTTTTAAAGGTCGGAACAGCTTTATGGCATTCCAATTTAAACGGCATGTGGGTAGGTTTTTAGTGATTTAAGTGGACAAGATGTGACTAGTTCGACTCTCCTCCTTAGGGTACTACCTTGCGGCTTGCGTTTCATATAGATTTCGTAAAGACATTTTGCGTGCGTGATATAGTTATTATGAATTTACAACTCGGCTGATATTTTAAACAGTGTTATAAGAATTGAATTTGGACGGACCTATTCGATCAGAAACCTAAGAACTGATCCAGTTACATGGAAAAAAAAAAATTTTGAAGACCGACAGTGCCATCAAGGAATTGGCCTATTCACACACAGAAATGGTAAATTCACCCCCTTTTTTTTTTGTTTATTTAATTTTTTTATTACTAATTTGATCTGGTTAACTTTGGTTCGACCCTTGACCTTATAAAATTTCTTCTGCAGTCTCAGTCATTCAGCTTCTGGGTAGTTAGTCTTGAATGATTCTTCTTGCAAGAACTTGAAAACAGAAAGGAGATTCTATTATTTATTTATCATTTTTCCATATCATGAAGATTATGAATCTTCTGGTTTTCTATTATATTTGCAAAGATAATCGATCAAAAGGGTGAGAAATAAATTTTAAAATGGAACAAAAACATAAATTTTTCCAATCTCAATGGATTCAAAACATTATTAAAATCACCAACTGAAGCTGATGGATTCAAAATGCAGGTTAGCTTCCAAACAAGATGAATAAATTCCTGCAACATTGTGTGTCATTTTCTTCGGTCCACAAACAAGAACTTCAACACTCAATTCTTCGCGCTCAAACAGAACTCCTGCAAGAAAATACGAATTTTATGGTTAATTTGCCAAAAACCAACTTTTATGCGCTAGTATGTCTGCATGTATATTCCAAGGAGTGTGTAATATCTTAAAAGGTCAACGTTATTAAAAGGATTAGCACAAGTCCTTATATAATTTATATTTTTTCATCACTAATCAAAGTGAGATATTGCCGTTTACAGTGTTTACGTGTGCATTATACTTGACAAGTAAAATTTCCATTTATGGCTGACAATATATTTGAGTGCAG